CCAACACACAATGCTCACAGAATTCCAATTTGCATGCCTTTGCACCTTTCAATAAGCCTTGCTTCACCAATCCTTGCAACGTTTTTTCTCCAGCATGCCCAAGACACATATGCCATAACCTCGTAGTGTCTGTGCTATCTGCGTCAGCAGCTTCGGTGACAGCTGCTCCACCAATAACTGTACTCCCCTGCAAGAAATACAAGTTATTTCGTCTTGTACCTTTCATCACCACCAGTGCCCCGTGCACAGCTTTAAGAACTCCACCCTCCATGGTGATCTTGAGACCCTTGGATTCCAATGCTCCCAATGAGATAAGATTCTTCTTCATATCCGGTACATACCGAACATCACTCAATTCTCTGACTGTTCCATCATGTATTTTCAAATAGATTTTGCCTATCCCTTGTGTTTTGCAGGCATTATTATTGCCCATCAAAACAACTCCACCATCCAGCTCCTCAAAGCTAGAAAACCATTCCCGAATGGGACACATATGATAGTTGCAACCTGAATCCAAAATCCACTCCTTGGAGTGACCATCAACAGATGAACTAGTCAAAGCAAATTCAAAATCATCATCTCCTGATTTTGTAATATTTGCTTCAGAACCCGCTTTCTTCTTCTCTTTGTTCTTCAATTTGGGCAGTCTTTCTTCCAATGACCCTTTTGGCGACAAAAGGCACATTCGTCTATGGCAGGAAACTTTCCCCGCTTCCCAGATTTTCTTTCCTCTGTTCGACCCCTTGCAACAAGTGCCTCGGTTTGTGGATTTTGAGTCTTCAATTCCTTCTTACGACACTCATGATTCACCAACGCCGCAGACACCTCCTCAAGTTTCACCTCGGATTTTCCATACAACAAAGTAGTTGTCAAATGATCATAATCATCAGGCAATGAATTTAACAAACATAGTGCCTTATCCTCGTCAGGAATTTTCACATCAAGGTTTGCTAAATCAGCAAGTATTTTATTATAATCATTGAGGTGTTCGTGCATAGAAATACCTGAACGATATTGAAATCGGAAGAGTCGCTTCTTCAAGAAGAGCCGATTTTCTGCGCTCTTGGTCATATACTTCTCCTCCAATTTCGTCCATAACTCCTTAGCAGAAGTTTCCTTCATATACGGGTATTTCAACTCCTTATCAAGGAA